CTGAAAGACGAAACAAGACTCTTAAGGATATGGTAAGAAGTATGATTGCTCATTCTTCTTTACCAGAGTCACTCTGGGGGGAAGCACTTAAGACAACAGCTTACATTCTGAACAGAGTACCAAGTAAAGCAGTTGCTAAAACACCTTATGAGCTTTGGACTGGTCAAAAGCCCAGTTTAAAGCATTTACATATTTGGGGATGTCCAGCTGAGGCAAGGCCTTATAGGCCAAATGAAAAGAAATTGGACTCCAAAACAGTTAGCAGCTACTTTATTGGATACTCTGAACGCTCTAGGGGCTATAAGTTTTATGATCCCACTATAAGGAATATTTTTGAGACGGGAACAGCAACATTCTTTGAGGATGTTGAGTTTGGGGGGAGAAATAAGGTTAGAGACATTAGTTTTGAGGAGGAATTGGCTTCAGATCCAATCCATACAGTTACTTTTGACAATATTCAGGTTCCTATACCTGTTGTTGCTCAAGAAGTAAATCCGGAACCTCAAGATGATAATGTTGAACAACTCCCTGTTCCAGAAGAACAAACTCAACAACCTCAAGAACCAGTGCCATTAAGGAGATCCACGAGAGAAAGGAGAAATGCTATTCCGGATGATTATATTGTATTTCTCCAAGAACATGAGGAAAGTAGTGGAATGTTAGAAGATGATCCAATCAACTTCTCTCAGGCCATGAAAAGTTCTAACTCTCAACAGTGGATTGATGCCATGAATGAAGAGTACAAGTCTATGCAAGACAATAAGGTTTGTGAACTTGTCCCGTTACCAGAAGGTGCAAAACCAATTGGTTGTAAATGGATTTTTAAAACCAAGCGGGATGCAAACGGTAATATGGAGAGGTATAAGACACGTCTTGTGGCTAAAGGCTATACTCAAAAGAAAGACATTGATTATACAGAGACTTTCTTTCCGGTTTCATCGAAAGACTCTTTCAGAACAATCATGACACTTGTTGCTCATTATGATCTTAAGTTACATCAGATGGATGTTAAGACTGTATTTCTCAATGGGGACATTGATGAGATGATTTATATGGTACAACCAGAAAACTTTGTGTCAGGAGACCCAAAGAATATGGTCTGCAAATTAAGGAAATCCATCTATGGACTCAAGCAAGCTCCTCGTCAATGGTATCATAAGTTTCAACAAATAGTTATCTCGTTCGGTTTTGAGATGAACATTGTTGATGACTGTGTATATCACAAGTTCAGTGGGAGTAAGTATATTTTTCTGGTTCTGTATGTCGATGACATCTTGCTTGCCACTAATGATATAGGCATGTTGCACGAAACCAAGAGATTTCTATCAAAGAATTTTGAGATGAAAGATCTTGGGGACGCCTCTTTTATATTAGGGATCCAGATACATCGAGATCGCTCTCGGGGTATTCTTGGATTATCACAAAAGAGCTATATCGATAAGGTACTTAAAAGGTTTGGCATGCAAGATTGCAGACCAGGTGACACCCCTGTTGCTAAAAGAAACAAGTTTAGTCTCAATCAGTGTCCTAAAGGTAACCTTGAAATTCAAGAAATGCAGAAGATTCCTTATGCTTCGGCTATAGGAAGTCTAATGTATGCTCAGGTATGTATACGTCCGGATATTGCGTACATTGTCGGGATGTTAGGCAGATACTTAAGCAACCCTGGTATGGATCATTGGATAGCAGTCAAAAGGGTTATGAGGTATCTTCAGAAAACAAAAGATTACATGCTCACATACAAAAAATCAGAACAGTTAGAGGTCATTGGGTATTCGGACTCTGATTTTGCTGGATGTCAAGATAGCAGGAAGTCTACATCAGGCTACATTTATATGTTAGCAGGAGCTATATCATGAAAAAGTGTCAAACAGACACTAGTAGCTTCCTCCACTATGACAGCAGAATTTGTAGCTTGCTATGAGACATCCAATCAGGGAATATGGCTACGAAATTTTGTCACGGGATTGCGCATTTTGGAAAATATTGAAAGACCACTAAAGTTATATTATGATAATAAATCTGTAGTAATGTATTCCAATAACAACGGGAGCTCAACTAAGTCAAAACATATTGACATTAAGTTCCTGGTTGTGAAAGAAATGGTACAGAGTGGACAGATATCCATAGAGCATATTGGGACAAACTCCATGATAGCTGATCCTCTTACTAAGGGATTGCCACCCAAGGTCTTTCATGAGCATACTGCTCATATGGGTGTGGTATTATTTGAGGATATTATGATTTAGTGGGAGTTTGTATTTGTGGTGCTTTATGTTTGGTTGTATTGTCTGATCAGAATAAAGTATTCAGTTAAGACACTCTGCTACATTATGTTTGGTTTTGACCTCACTAAAAGAGGACCAATTGAAAATAGACATGTACTGATCACATTGTATGTAATTTTCATGCTGCAAATCCATGATTGATCTATGTCGTTTGATTGTATTAGTATATGTGACCATTGATGGGTCGAGTCACGATAAATGTGACGAAGGCCGCTTTGATCCTATATTGATATAGTCAATGGACGAGATTGTTCGGAAATACCTTTTCAGTGATAGCAATTTTTGAGCTCATAAGGTTATACACAATTTAAGGAATCATATGGTGCCCAAGTGGGAGATTGTTGGATTTAATCTAATAAATCTATTTGTGGGCACATATGATTAATCAATGTGTATTGCTATCTTTCAGGATAACCCACTAAAGTGATCAATTAAGTTGGGTTAATGGGTATTTAAATATAATCATGGGGTTATATGTGCAGATACCAGGTTGTAATTGTGATTTGTTGAGGGGCTAAATTACAAAAGTATAACATCTATAAATAAGGGGTTATGGTCCCTAATGTAGGGTTACATTCTCTAATTTTTTTCACCCCCATCTTGAGAGAAAATTCGGCTATAGAGAAAACCCTAAGGTTAGAAGATCCAAAACACATCTCAAGTTTTCTTCAATGGATTCAGGTATAAGCTTCCGCTCTTTTAGATTATTGTTAATCTCTTTGAATTAATCATGGCTTTATGATTTAGATCTAACAAGTTGCAAATGAACCCCTAGTGGGAATTGTTTTGACTCACACAGGCCCCCTAGAGTATTAAGCGCCGAGAAAATTTCACTCAAGAGGTCTATCCGCAATGATAAAACTAAACAGACATATAGTACGTAGGTACGAAACAACGATGCCAGAGGAGGGGTCGATACACAATTAACTGTTAGATTTTATTACCGTGATTAATTCAAGGAGATTAACATAAGAACGGAAGCTATACCTTAATTCGTGACGATATGCACGGATCTGAAACTTGGGTTTTTGATCTTCTAGTCCTGAGGGTTCTCTCTTGATCGAGAATTCTCTTTAGATGGGGATAAGAGAATGAGAACTCAACCCTAAGATTAGGAACCATAACCATTTTATATAGACTTGCAGTTTTCTAATTTAACCCATCATTAAATTAAAATTACAATCCGGTATCTGCACAATTAGTCCATGACATATATAAATACCCATTGACCCAATTACCTGATTGATCACTTTATGTGGGGCAACTACAAAGATAGCAACACACACTGATGTAACATATGTGCCCAGGAAGATAGCAACACGGACTGAGCATACATGTAGTTGAGTTGCTACATATATAATTTTTCAAAAAATTAATTATATATCGGTTCTTTATCCTTCAAAAGATGCATGCACAACTATCCATAAACACGTACACAGCTTTGGGGTCACTCGGTCACTTTTGGTGAAGCTCGTGTAGTTTGCAGAGTTTAAAAAATGAGGAGGTGAAAGGTGAAAGTGGAAAAAGGAGGAGGCTGATCAGACTCCTCTCTTTGCCCTCATATGGAGGGTGGCAGTGGCACCCACGTGTGAGCTGCAGGTAATATGCCCCCAGGTTTGCTTTTCTTATTTAGCCTTTTGCTGCACGCGTGAGGAGACAAGAAAGTTTAATGTATTAATCTGTGTAATTAATCTATTTGCGCTTTACAACAATTTGCTAATGAGCAATGGGAAAGTATTAAGGAATCTTATCTACGTTAATGTGGACCTGATAAAATCCGAGAAAAAAAATATCTTCTTATTCTTCTAATTTAAATAGATATTAAAGTTGGGATCCGTAATTAATATCGATTTAGATCAAAGCCGAACAGAGTAGTAAATTTAATGTCGTGCGTTGCAGAAGATCAAGTTATGATTCTCTTCTTTAGTTAGATAAGAGCTCTTCAACTCATAAATGGTGAAAGATTGCAAAAATATTAATAACTATATATATAAAGTTTTAGCCCCTGATTACTAAATTTAAGTTAGAATGAGACTTCTTGTTTAACCATGGATACTGTGGACTTTTCTAATTACCAAACAAATAACAATGTTTACAGGACTCAAATGGAGAAAACTTTAAAATGTTTGCAACATAAACAAAATAGCTAAAATTCTCAAATTATCCTTTTAACTACCTGTAGATAGCACGTATTATCCTATTTTATGAGGGTGCTATGATAAAATCTCTTACTGCTGGAGTAAAACTAAAAGGTGTGTGTAAGTAGATGAAACTTTGAGGTATCTAACCGCCAATTAGCCAAACTATTCTAAAACATTACACCCAATGGATCCAAATTCTTGTTCGTGTGGCAAAGCGAAACTGCAAAGAAAATATAAAGCAGCGTACATCAGCTGAATCTTTTGTAATAATTGAGAAAATATAAAAAAAATCAATAACAAAAGGACCAAAGGAAAGCAAATTGAAAATAGCAAAAACAAGAGGGAGAAGAAAAGAAACCGGTGTCGTTCACATGTGACAGTGATAGAGAGAGAGAGAGAGAGAGAGATTATAACTTCCCACGCTCACATTGGAGCAAGCGAAAGAAGCACCCAACCCAACTACCCAAATTCTCTCTCTCTCTCTCTCTCTCTCCTGAGCTGAGAACTTCTCTGTATTCTTGCTCTCTGCTTTTGCTGGTT